CTTAACTTACTTCCTTAATCTCCTCAAATAAGTCAACTGTGTCTTATAATTAGGACGGAGGAAGGAGGTAGTATTGTCCAGTGTTGGGGGATTCTTTTTCTCACAAACTATTGTGCCATTTGAAAGCAACGACCTAATAGAACTCCGAGGTGTACCAGCAACTTGCCTTTGCAAGGGGTGGATTTTGTCATGCCTTAGGTCAGCAATGTCTAGAGCTGTCCGGTTTTCTTGGTTAAGTATAGCAAGATTGACTCTATTGTCCCAAGTCAACGAATGCACAATTTTGGGATGCTGGTGAAGGGTGGCCAAATGCATCAGGGTATTCCCATCATTATTCTTCTAGTTTATCATAATCTTAAGCTTAGATGTAGAGGATGTAATTAACCAGCTCATATTTTCCACTTTTAGAAGCAACATGGAGCAAAGTTCAACCATTTTTGTCGAGCATCTCGGTGAGATCTGTATAGTATTTTATTAGCCCTTGAACCACTCTAACGTGACCTCTAATACATGCCAAATGAATAGTGGAAGAAGCCATGGTTGTCCCTTTCCATGGTGCATGAAGAACATTTCTTTACTAAGTAGGAAACAACTTCACAGTACCCCATGGATGCTGCCTGATGAAGGAGCCTTCCTTCTTCATTTCTCAAATGTATCCAATTTGGTTTCTTGCTCATAATATTTGCAACATATCTGCACAAACAAACAATAAATTAGGATTCGTACATTGGTAAATGAAGATATATAGGACAATATTGCGGGCACATAAATGTTTTAGTGATGTGTTGGAGAAATGAATCCATGAGTCGATAACATATGATTACCCATATTTCTCTTGGTCATTACTGGAAGAAAGGGAGATTTTCTTGAGGTTTAAGGTCATACTGGTTGCAGATGTCCAACAGTTGCTCAACAACTTCCTTACTACCAACCTCAATGGCCACGTACAATAATGATTTTCCTTCCTCATTGATTGCAAATACTGCTTAATGATTGACAATTTTCTTAAATTCAGCTTCCAACTCTAAACCATCTTTGATGAAATAATCTTGAAAGGCCCTGAAAATCTTATCCCCATTGTGGGCGTTAACCATAAAAGCCTCATGAAAGAAAGTACGAAGTTAAAGACACCAAGAGCATCATTCGCAAAGTGAATTGATCTTCACGATGACCATCTATCTCACGTCTTACCAAAGGAAACCAAGTATTCAAGAGATTTTGAATGACAGATGCACAGCCTGCTCTTGTAGAAGCTTGCAATGCAGTAACATAATTGATGTTGGTCACTGTAAAAAGAAAGGGACCTTGTTGAGCCACCTTCTCTACAATTGTATTGTTTCCATAGGCAGCTGTTAGGTGCAAGACACCAAAGGAGTGCGTTGTTTATAAATAGCATTACCAGGTAACAATGAAATCTTTGTTTGAGGTGGAAAAATTGGAATCCATGGAAACATATGCAGTTGTCAGTAAATTCAAATCCATGTTTGGTCCATGATCTTGCTCCGTTAACTTGCGCTTTAAACCTGATGATGAAATTTCCATCCCCCTTGAGAATCTCACCACTCGCATTTGCAAGTCCCCCATTACACCTCTGGGTGCTAGAGGTGCTTCTTCCTCATCAGGAAAATCAGTATACTCTCTCTTGTTTGATTTTAACTTGAATACTCTCTCTTCTCCATGGATTCCATGGCACTGCTCGAACACAATGGCTACGTCAGATGCTTCACTTGATTATGAGAAGACATATTTTCGATTGTCGGAATTTGGAAAAAGTTATTATATGTTGGATTGAACCAGACTTTGATGAATATAATCTCAATCATGTATCTATGTATAGTACAAGCATTAATGAGTCATTATGTATAATCACAGTGAATAAATTTGACATACCGCAATGTATTTTAGTGTTAGGTTTACCAGGCCATGAGAAGAAAACATACCCTCGAAAAGAACCATACATTAATGTTCCGTTAAATTCAAATCAATATTGTTCACAAGTTATAATTAATATAGTAATAATTTTACCGACAGATAGTAAAACAATGGAATGACATACATACCCCTATCGTCTTCATTTCCGGCGATTGTTCTACAATACCTTTTCTCCAGTTCGGGTTCTAATCTGTAATCTTTCATCTGCGGGAGATGCCATGTTACTTCTTGTCCTCAAACCAAAAAATAAATAAATAAATTATTATAAGTTTTAAACTTGGTTGAATTTTTTGGGAAGAGAACCTCTTTACTTCCACTTATTGTAAATTTATAATATCGTATATATATATATATAAAAATATTTATATTTTTCTCTTTTTACTGATATTAAAGTGTTCTTAAATTCTTAGGTTCATGAAATATATATTCTTCTTCTACGAGCATGAAACATATATTGTAAATATATTGAAATTTAATTATATAATCTTACTTATAATTTTAAGCTTTTGGTGCCTAATCTTCTAGTTAACTTGAAGACAAAAGGAGAGGGGAAATAGAGAAGCATGATTTTAAACCTCTTTAGTCGCCTTGGGGTTAAATCAAGATAAAACCGAATGTACATGCAATATAATGTACAATTCGGATCGTCTCTCTCGCGGAGCCTTTTTATTTGAAAATCTAAGCTAAACTAAATACCAAAAAATATTGAGAGGGTTTTTAAATTGATTTTCTTTAATAAAACTACTTTGTAAACAATACAAATTAGATAAATCCTAATTACTATTTTTTTGGCTTTTTAATAAAATGATAAGTGAAAATATTAATTTGGATTTTAAGGAATTTAATGATGAGATGCTCTTTAGAAATAAACCAATGACTATTCTAGCTTGATTAATGATATAGAAGTAAATCAATTGATCAGATCGGTTTAGAGAAGTTATTTTTTTTAAATTAATACTCAACTAGAACATTAATTATTTGTTAAATTCACTTCAAGCATAATCTCTATACAGCTAGCATAAAAATCATGCTAACAATGAATCAAACAAAGACATAAACATATAATTAAATATATATTTATAAACCCAAGTACTTAAACTTAAAATTACCAATCCAAATCTCAACAATTCCAATCCAAACCAAGAATTACAACTAGCAATTCCAAATTTTAAACTACACATAACAAATTTCAAACCAGAAATCATTAATATATAGTTTAAACTAAAGATTAGAACTAGACTCTCCTTTGTCGCTCCCAAACTCAAGTCATTGGGTTCAGTCCAAAGAGCACCGGAAAAAGAATCAGTCACTCATGGTCTTGAACCCAACAATAACGAGCTCCAAGGACACCGCGGCCATTGTAGAATTCTGCAGAATGAAGTCGCGGCCCCTCTGGTTCTGATTCGGCTGAGAGAAGAGTGTGATGCTGGTAGATGATAGAAGAGGACACAGGTGAGGTGAATGGACAGCGATGGTCGTGTTATGATGAAGATTGTGGAGAGGTCGATGGTTTAGGGAGGTGGAATGGAGAGATTCGAAGGTTGTGAATGTGTGGCGGCGTCAAGGCTGATGATGGAAGAAAAGTCTTGAGAGGTCTAATTACCAGGTCTGCGTTGCGGCCCCGCTCTCCTTTCACGATGGAACCTCTTTTTTTTCAAATCCATTTGCCCGCATGCTTTGGTTAAAACGGTGAGTTTCAATGCCAAGGGTCCTTCACTGCTTTTTAAATTCTTTGGTCCTTCTCCTGCAATAACTCATCTTTTATTTCTTTTTTTTTTTAATTTCCCAAAATGACCTACAAAATAATTTAACAAATTGTAATATCAAAGATCCCAAAATTTATTAATTAAAAGCAAGCATAAAAATATGACAAAAATAACCTTTTTGATCTATTAACTAAAATTAATTAATTAAAAATAGTAATAATAAATACAAATTAACTTATTTTAGGGATTGACCGTCGCAAGACATGGCGGCGATTCCTTACTGTAGAATGTGATTTCGATGTAAAATATATGATATTTAATTTAGGGAAATGTTATTAAGAGTGTGATTATGATGTAAAACATTTCATAAATTATTTATTCTTGATAAGAATGTTTCATGGTAACTCCATGGGAAATGGCTTTCACCACTTCAAGAGGCAACCGTACTCAATAAAATCACACTGCTCCGCAATCTATTTGTATTATGTTCTTTTATAATGTCAACTTGTGTGTACTGTTTGGGATTTGGGCACCAATTCAGCATCTTGAAATCATTCTTGGCTCTATCTGCTTGCTCCATTAACATGTGGCCTGAATCTGTTGCGTGTTGATCATTATCTCTGTCTCTATTTCCTAGACATTTCATCTCCTTCTTAGGTAGTGCCTTTCAATTTGAATAGTAGCAGTTATAACTTGATATTGCTACTTCATATTCCCTTTTTTACGGCTATTCATATAATTTAGTAATTACTAATCAAGAGACCATATCAGTTACCAAATATACATATAACGAATTGCCATCAAACGCAGCATTTTTAGAACAATGAATTCTTAGCGTTATATTCTTTTTCCTTTTGTCTATTCTTGTATTTGTTTTGAGTACAGTGGCCACCGATCCAGCAAACATCCTATGCAAATTTCCACACATGGTCCCATCCTTAATGTACGTTTAATCAAGTGATAAGTGTTCCATGTTATGACAAATATATCTTCCAATTCACCACATCTTGTACATGTACGTTACATATGACAAACATCCTCTGTACATAGTTCCACGTGTGGTCAAGAAATCGCTCACTAGTCATTATTGTCTAATGGGGTCAAATAGACCCAAAATGTACAACTCCATAACGCACACAAGGATGACAACCTTACAACTAATCCGTATACATAAGCGACACAAAAGATTACAATCATATATACCCTGCCAACTATCCTATACAAACCAGTCCCATTAAAACATACGAGTACAGATGAATATATATGACATAATATAAACAGACACCAAACACATAAATATACTTAATCCTTAACATGTGTGATTCTTCATCCTACTGATAATAACCATGCATTTCATCTATATTACAGGGTACTAGAAGGACTGGAACCTTTGTGGTTGGCATCAGTTTTCCCTTCAACTATCTTAGCAAGAAGAAGAAAGGGATAATAGGAAATATATCGAACGAATGGTATGGTTGAAGAGGATGGCAGCCAAAGAAGGGCATACAAGAAAACAACCATGAAGGCCAAAACCACACTTAATACCAAAAAGGTGGTGGCCAACCAACTAAGTTTGTTGACCACAAGAAACACACCTGCCAAAAATGCCAGAGATAGTGTCGTCAAAGAAATACCTAGAACTGGCATCGCACACTTCAGAGCAAAAAGCATTAAACGCAGATCATCTAAACGAGCCCACAAGAGAATTATAGTTGTAATTATAGCCCCAAAGACGGAGATTGTGAGGGAGAGAATGAACAAATGGAACATCCCATGATTCAGCATAACAGCTGTTCCCTTATCTACGCCACCTGGCATGGCGAATCCAGCAGCAAAGGATGCTGTTATTATAAGAGTTGAAACCAATATCAAAGTGTCAAGTCTATCTTTATATTTTTTGGTGCTGGCTGCTTCTCTTTCTTCACCATATATTAATGTGTCATTTGAAAGCAATGGCCCAGCAGAACTTCGAGGTGTACCAGCAGATTGCAATGCAATCCATGTAAGTACCTGGAAACAAACATTTTCAAGAAGAATCATGATTTTGAGAAAAGGAATTTTGAAATTGTTAAATTACGAATAGCAACTTGCCTGCGCAATGGATGGATTTTTGCCATGCCTTAGTTCAGCAATGTCTAGAGCTGTTTGGTTTTCTTGGTTTAGCACAGCGAGATTAACTCTGTTGTCCCAGGTCAACGAATGCACAATTTTGGGATGGCAGTGAAGGGTGGCCAAATGCAAAGGAGTATTCCCATCATTATCTATCTGGTTTATCATAATCTCATGTTTAGGATGTTGGAGGATGTACCTAACAAGCTCATATTTTCCACTTTTACCAGCAACGTGAAGCAAAGTTCGACCATTTTTGTCAAGCAGCTCTGTGGGATCTCGATAGTATTTTAGTAGCTCTTCAACTACTTTGACATGACCTCTAATACATGCCAAGTGAATAGGGAAGAAGCCATGGTTGTCCCTTTCAATGGTACATGAAGAACATTTCTTTACTTAGTAGGAAACAGCTTCATGGTACCCTATAGATGCTGCTTGGTGGAGGGCAAGCCTTCCTTCTTCATTTCTTAAGTGTATCCAATTTGGTTTCTTGATCAGAATGGTTTGCAACATATCTACACAGACAAACAATATAATCAGGACTCATATACCGGCAAATAAAGATACGTACGACAATATTGCAAGCGTGTGAATGTTTTAGCAATATGTTGAAGAAATGAATAATCCATGAGTCATTAACAATATACTTACCCATATCTCTCTCGGTAAGTGCCGGAAGAAAAGGAGATTTTCCTTGAGGCTTGACGTCATGTTCGATGCAAATATCCAATAGTTGATCAACAACTTGCTTACAACCAACCTCAGTGGCCACGTACAATAATGATTTCCCTTCCTTGTTGACTGCAAATACTGCTAAATGATTGACAATTTTCTTAAATTCAGCTTCCATCTCTAAACCATCTGTAATGAAAGAATCTTGAAAAGCCCTGAAAATCTTATCCCCATTTTGGGCATTAACCATAAATGCCTCATGAAAGAAAGTGTTTCCTTGCTTGTTTCGCAACAAAGTCAAAGACACCAAGAGCATCATTTGCAAAGTGAATTGATCTTTAGGATGACCGTCTGTCTCACGTCTTATAAAAGGCAACCAAGTATTCAAGAAATTTTGAATGGTAGAGGCATGGCCTGCTCTTGCAGCAGCATGCAGTGCGGTGTCATAATTGCTGTTAGTCACTGTAAAAAGATAGGGAGCTTGTTGAGCTATATTGTCTACCATTGCATTCTTTCCATAGGCAGCTGCTAAGTGCAGGACAGTATTCTCCAAAGGGGTGCGTTGTTTATAAATAGCAGGATCAGGTACGATGAAATCTCCGTGTGAAGGGGAAACACTGGAGTCCATGGAAACATATGCAGCTGTAAGCAAATTCAAATCCGTGTTGGGTCCATGTTCTTGTTCACTTAACTTGTGATTCAATATTGATGATGAAATTTCCATCCCCCTTGAGAGTACCGCCTCTTGCATTTCAGGTTCTGGCAACCACATGCATGGCTCCATCGGTGTTTCTTCCTCATCAATATATTCGGTACTCTCTGCCATGTTTGATTTTGACTTAAACATTGTTTCTCCCCCTTGGATTCCATCGCATTGCTCGAACACAATAGTCACGCCAGATGTTTCACTTGATGATGCAAAGACATATTTCCTGTCAGAATCTGAATAAGAAAAATTATGACATGTTTGATTGAACCAGTGTTTTGAATCTCAATCAGGTAGCTATACTACCTGTGTTTCTTAATATAAGAACTAGATAACTACTCTGTGCATATCAAAAAAATTAGTTAAGTAAGTTTTCTTTCCTAAATACCTATATTAATCATGCATGTTGAAACTATTCCTTCATGAAAACTCCTTAACATATGCAATCATCATAAGAATTACTTTGGGATAAAATGAATAGATATTGGAGGCAAAGTGGATTGGACTCTTACATTGAGGACCAAATTGAACATCCAACTAACTCTTATATTAACGAATAAAGACATTAACGGAAAAGGAGAGTGATGAAATTTGGCATACCGCAACATATTTCAGTGTCAGATTCAGATGCACTGGGCCACGGGAAGAAAACATACCCTCGAAAAGAACCTGACACATGTTTGCTTGACATTATTGTTTAAATCCCAATCAATATTGTTCCCAAGTTATTATTAGTCGTCATGGATAACAAAGCAAGAATATAATACCGATTCATTTTGAATGATAGTAAAACAAAGGAGTGACATATACCCGTATCATTTTGATTCCCAGTGATTACCTCCAGCCTGGGTTCCGATCGGTCCTTATTCATCGCAGGTAGAAGCCAAGTTACTCCATCTTCTCCTCAAACAATAAACAAATTATAAGTTTTAAACTTCCTAGAATAATTTTATGTTCAATATTATGGATGCCAAATGCATAATACTACTTGTATGGAATAAAAATATGTCTAACGAAGACACGTACACGCGGCGGTGTGATTAATTTATATTTATTAAATTATTCTTAATGTATTGAAATTTAAGCATATAATCATCTTTCATCTAGAGAGAAAATATAAAACATGACCCGCACGTTTTCAACAATACAGGGAGCAACAACATAAATGATACTCTTCCGGTCCTAAATATAAGACCCATTTAGGACTGGAGGAGTATAAGAAAAAGTTTAGAGCCGATAAGAACTTCATTGAAAAAGTGTAGCAGCAATGCTATTTGGATAAGAAAGAGCTAAGAAATGAACATACTTGCTCATCCTTTTAATGATACTACATATGGTGTCTTTATTACCTTCACATTGCACGCACATCACAACGCCTTACAAATTCTTGTACATCTTTCAACAATTTATCCAAAACAATTACATAAATTAATTGAGTCATAAGTGATAACTTTTTATTTCATATGTGTGTATTTCATCCTCCTATTTTAATTTTATCTTTTAATAAAGATATGTTATTGCTGAAAAGAAACTAACTAAATTATTCTTTTGTCCGGAATATAAGATAAGTTAATTTAATTTCTCATATAATAAAAGATGCTTTGTTTAGAAAACATTCTGTTCAAGAAATGTTAAAAAAAATCATAGGAATATATATACTATATATAAAACAATACGTATCTTAATGGTTTAATAAAATTTTTAGTACCTGAAATTTAATTTCAATTTGATTTTAATCCTTATTTAAGGGACCACAAATTTTATGACGGACTAAAATGAAATCAAAATTTAGGAACCAAAATCACTACTTTTAAATTTTAGAGATGAAAATCAAAATGAGATTAAATTTTAATGACTAAAACCACATAGGAGCCAAAACCAAAATGATGTCAAATTTTAGGGGCTAAAAATTATATTAACCCTATCTTATAATTATAAGTGAAAAAAATAAGCAAAACACACATAAAAAATGGTTTGATCTCTTATTTTTCTGATTAATTAGTTGGAGGTTTTTAAAGGAGGGACTACTCCCTTTTCCCCTCAGAAATAATGAGGGATTTTAAAGAGGAAGTTTGCATTTCAATCATAACAGAACGAAAATTCCTTGCCTCTGATCAATCCAGCCAATTGCCTACACTACAAAAAAACAGTTGATTAGCGACAGAATTTGCGATGAAAACAAATTCCATCACTAATTTCTGACAGAATTTGTGACGAAAACAAATTCCGTCACTAATTTCCAAAGGATTTGTGACAGAAATTCTGTTGCTAATTTTTTCAACGGATTAGCGATGGAGCGACAGATTAGTGACGAAATTTCTGTCCGTCCCTAATTCGTCAGAAAATCCGTCGCTAAATATTTAGATACGGAATTAGCGACGGAATTTTTTCTGTCAGAAATTTCCGTCACTAATTCCATCACTAAATTTTTGTCACTAATTTTGTCGCTAATTATATTCTGTCGCTAATCCAACACTAATTTTAAATTTTATTACTTTAAATTATAATCTTACAAAAATTTATATAATACTCCTTCCGTTCCTTATTATAAGAGACATTTGGTGCTTATGGCATGTTTCTATATATAAGAGACACTTAAAAGTTGTCTCTACTTTTTTGTGTTGATTTCCTATTTTACCCATATTTATTGTCTTCAATTCACACACTTTCTCCCTCTCACTTCTCTTTCTTTCAATAATTTAATTGTTCGCTCTCATACTCTCTCTCCTTATTAATGAGGGTATTTTTGGAAAAAAAATTATATTTTTTACACATTAATTGTTGTTAACTAATTTTAACTACTTTTTGATCAACGTAATTCGGTTATTCGTCTCTTATAATAAGGAACGGAGTGAGTAACAATTAAGAATATAATGATTTAAAAACATTTTTAATTATAAAATAAATTGATATATTTGTGGAGTTGCTATTAATGAAGATATCATCATCATTCATGTCATCATTATGTATATACTAAAATAGAAAGATAATTTCTTAGAAAAACTTGTTTATATTTTGTTAAAATAAATTCCTCTTGATTATTAAATAATTAAAAAATATAATAAAATATTAATAACTTTCTATATACAAACTGATATAAGAAAGAAATAATTTTATCATATATATATGTACAATATATTGAAATATATAATATATGATAGAAATTCAAAAACAAAAAATAAATTTATATGAACGCAAACTAATATTGAAATAAATTTTGAATTTCAATCATTATACAATAAAAATTAATCATGATATAATTAATACTCATGATATAGATTGATTTTGATCTTCAATACAAAAACAAATAGTATATACAAGAATTTTAAGAAATAAATTACAGAGGATATATATACGACTAGGAGAATATTGTTTATCATAATCTATTCAAATCATTTAATTTTTTATATAGAATAATTTATTATATTTTATTATAGTAGTTATTTTTTGAATAACAAGATTTTTTAACTAATTGTAAATATTTTCTTCAAATATATAAAACACATATAGATAATATAATATAATGTAATATATAATACATATAATTAAATTATGTATCTTATCAATGTTAATTAAAAAAATTTAAAAAATTATTTATAAAAAAATTATTTATGATTTAAAAATTCAAAATTAGTGTTGTTGGAAATTAAAATTATATTTAAAATATTTTTAAAAAAAATTATGAAACAAATAGTAAAAAAAATATTTAAAAATATTTTTTCATTAAAATAGTTATGATTAAAATTATCAATAATATATTTTTAGTTTTTAATAATATATATTTGTTGGTAAAATAATATTATATATATGTAATTTATATAATAAATCAACAGGTTCATTGCAGCTCAATTGGCAGCACACGTGGCAGGTAGAGGTGAGGTGGCAGCACAGCACACATGGAGGTGGTCACCAATGATGACGTAGTAATTGGTAGAGGTGCCACATGTATTTTTATTTTTGTTTTTCAAAAATCAGGTTAGCGACGGAAAATTCCGTTACTAAATTCTATTATTAAAAGCATATTTTTTTGTAGTGTCAGGAGAAAGGAAGATCACTACCCTCGAGAAAAAATTTAAATTGCACATCTCTAATTAGTTGATCCAAAGGAAGCACGTAAAGATAAACATGAAAGAAATTGGGAAGAATAATAAAGTCAAAGCGTCGGCTGGGGAAGGAAACAAGAGTTTGAAGTTCTTACTGCTGTTTGGCTCCTGTGATTCCATCTGCGGAAGCGGTGATGAAGTTTCAAAATGCATGACCGGAATCAGTGATGAAGCTTCCACGTCACTATGCCTCTTCGACCGTTTCCTCACTCTTCAACTTCACTGACCACACATGAAAAACCTTCGCACCATCGGTTTCCTTTATTTATAGGAATTAGCCGCCAACTTCTATTACTGTCTCTTTTTAATATAAAAACTAGTTGACTAGTGACTAATATATACTCTTCTAATTCTATTTATAAGGCACTTCTAACATATTTTATATAAGTTAAGAAAAACATTAAAATGCATTAACTTTCCATTAAAATATAACAAATTTTTAACTTTATCCATATTTAATATATACACATTTCAAAAGAAATAACTACCTACAATATAATAAATAAAGGACAAAATAGTATATTCACACTAAAAATTTAATGAAGTGACTTATAAATAAGACTCAAAAAAATCTTCTCTCTCTGCTCTATAAATAGGACCACAGGAGTAAAAACTAGTTGACTAATTTAAGTAGATTAAAAAAAATTAATTAAGTTAATTATTTTTAATAAATAGGTGTTGTATTTCCTAGAATACTCTTATTAATTATGTGTATTAGTTAAAACTACTATTTAATAAAAAATTTTAATATGTGCAAGGATTATCTTAGAAAAAATAAATAAATAAATATTTATGAATATATTTGGGAAAAAATTCATATTCCAACAAAATTGATAATTTAGTTATTATTTAGTAATTTTGATAAGGTTTTCTATTGATTGGAATTTGCCTTTACATGTTGGCCCACAAACCAAAGAAATCTAGGAGTTCGTTTTCAAACATGACGCAAATGAAGACTGAAAACACAATCATTTTGAGACACGTGTCCTACTATGTGGGGTGACCGTATCATCATTTGCAACTTGTCCCGTGATTGTGAAAAAGATAAAAGAGAAAATAAAAGGGTTGGCATCCTGAGTAGGAGTAACCATTGCAACTTGTCAGAGTGATGCATCCCTTGATTTGTTCCTATATCATTTTTCTATCATCTTGATTTTGATCTCAATATTTTTAAATTGTAAGTCTTGGTCTTTTTTTTTTTTTTAACTGTTTAAAACATTGACCCCAGCCATTTAATAAGGACTTGAACGCGGGGGTCAATAGTGATAAGTTTGATAGTTTGGCATTAACACTATAAATTACGCACGCTGATGTTGCTTGATACTCCCTCTTTTTTTTATTATAAGAGATAAATAACCAAATTATATTGATAAAAAAAAAGTTAAAATTAGTTAAGGACAATTAATATGTAAAAAGTATAATGTTTTTTTTCAACAATACCCTTATTAACAAGGACAGAGAGTATGAGGGAGAACAATTAAATTATTAAAAGAAATAGAAGTGGGGGGAGAGAGTATGAGTTAGAGACAAAATAAATAGGGGTAAAATAAGAAATCAATATAAAAGAATAGAGATAACTTTTAAGTGTTTCTTATATATAAAAACATGTTATAACTATCAAATATCTTTTATAATAAGAAACGAGAGTAACTCACGAGCAACAAACCTGTGGTTCCTGTAGCTTATGTGGAGTTAAAATTCTTTAAAAGGATGTGAATGTCTTCTTCTAAGGTTGAGGATTGGCCACGTTGAGGCGAAGCAACCACTTCCCGAGGACGACATTGATAATGTAGCTGCCATCAATTCCAATCCAAACGTTGCAGTAAGTATCTTTGGCCAAAAAAAAAAAAAACGTTGCAGTAAGTATCCCATCTTCTCTTTTTTTTTTGTCAGCAAGCACCAATAATTGCCTAACTATATATATATATATATATATATATATTTATATATATAGGGTTCTGGTTCATTTCGTAAGATCCGTACCTAGTTGTGTTGCGATGCAGTATGCCATGGGCGCCTGGGACACTAGGTACGACAATTTGTAATAGCCACTCTAATTACGGTACAATTACTATCTTATACAGTCCCATTGATTAAATTTTTTAAAAAATTATTAAATTATTTAATTCACTTATTAATAATAATAATTATTTTTATAGTGATTTTTAGTTTTTAAGTTGCAGCGTTCCCCAACAAAATCTCATTTCTCAATAAAATAATTCATAAAGTCATTATATAATTTTTTTTTAGAGTATTTGTTTATAGCATTGTTTTTATACC